ATGGCTGCTGGTCCAAGAGAGGTGACCTGAGCAGTCGTTGTAGGTCATGTGATGGCAGGCAGTGGGCTATGGGAGCAGCCAGTCGCAGGCAGAGGTGCCTGTCTGTCCTTGAGCAGTGCCTGGTACCAGGCAGGTAGACACATGGCAGACGGTCGGATAGACATGACTTTCAGATTGAGGTTGAATACTGATTCATGGTGTTTTGGGGGTGAAAGGGTGAATTGGGGACGAAGAGAGAAGAGAAGAAAGAGACAGAGAAGGGTAAGCAGAGAAGTGTGGAAAGAGGCACAAGTTAAGCTGACTCTCCGAAAGGAAGATGAAAAGAGAGCAAGCTCAGTCCAATAGCTGAAGATCAGCCTGCCTCAGCTGGTAGGAAGGGAGTGAGCATGGCTTGTCTCTTTAAGATACAGAAAACCATAACATTCCCAGGTCTTCTCTATAAAAAAAAAAAAAAAAACAAGGGTATTACACACCACATTTTGAAGGAATTGGGGTGGAGAATTCTTAACTTCTTAATGCTGGTTTGTGTGCATCGTTTTTGTGGTCGTAGAACCCAAGGAGGGGGTTTGCTCAGAATCTGAGTAAGCTGTGTGCTGGTCACATCCTGGCATAGCTTGTCTCTTTGCTTCTCACCGCTGTCTGTGGCATGGAAATGTCTGTTATCTCTTATCCTGTTTAAGGTATTGGCAGAACAGAAAACAAAGTTTAATTAGGGGAAAAAAGAATTCTACCAGGGAAATGAGGGGGGTATCTGACATTTTTAATATGAAGTCCTTAATTCAGCTCCCGGGAATTCAAAAGAACTCCTTGTGTTTGTGGAAACAGAATTTGTATACCCATTTAAGGTAGCATAGGAGAGAAATTTGATTTGAAATTTCTTTGAGGTAACCAGGCAAAACCTCTCAGCCATCAAACTGTCAGAGATCTTAGAGAATGATAAGATTTTACCTGAGTTACTGCTTAAAAAAGGACAGAGAACTTACTTCGTTGTCACCCAGAGCTCCTCTGTTTTGGGTCCTCGATGGTTGCTGAATGTTGCACTTGAGCTTTGCTGTTTAGTGCAGGGACTGCCAGGCTCTATAAGAACCTGTGGGCTAAGAAATCTGTATGAAGACATGCCTACCTTGACCTGAGCTGCTAGGCTGTCAATTCCAGCGATTCTTTTCACGCCCATAGGTTTTTAGTTTAGACTAAATGCAATTTTCCAAATGGTAAGCACTGTGAGGTTGAAGCAAACTGCATAAGTATGTTCTTCAACTCCATCAAAGACTCCAGAAAGGTACAATATTACCTAAGCAAACAAGAAATAATCAACTTCCAAACTTTAGAAATCACAGAGATATCTCGCTTCCTGGACAGTCACCCAAACTTCCTCTGTATTGCTTGGGTATCCATCTTCGGCCTACAGGCCCATAGCTTTCAGCAGGCATTTCCATGAAGCAGGAAATTTCAAAGTCAGTTCAGTCAATATCTGCTGTGTCCTGTAAAATGTCTCACAGACTCTCATGAACCAGGAACCCCTAAAGATCATCTCTCCTTTAGGCAAGTTCAGCAGTCCTTTCTCTGTTGGTTCTTTGTGTCCAGTGCAACATTCCAGGCAAGACCAGTTTCTTGCCCAAATGGGTAACCAACTCAATAATGAGCCTCTTCGATGCCCATCTTCCTTTTGAAGTTGATTAGTGCTGTCAGGAGCTGACATGTCTCATTGTCATGCAGAGTTAGTGATTTATTTTAAAGTATCATTCTGTATCCTTTGAAATAGATGAAGAATGCCTATCTGAAATATCTATGCATATTAAGAAAGTCTACTGAACATAACTACCAGCTATATTATTATTAATGATTATTTATTATCCATTAACAACCTATATATATTCCATTTTTACATGAACTACGTAATCACAGTACCATAATTAATATTAGAAATATATATAGATATATGCATATAACAATTGCCCTTAAATTTATATCAACAAAGCAAAACTTATACCAATGTAAATTATTTATATCTAGATCATATCCCCCTTTAAATGTAAAAGTACATTTATAGACAATGTTTGGGAATATTGGCACGGTTATTTTTTTTTCTTTTCTTTTCTTTTTTTTGGGGGGGTTTTTTGAGACAGAGTTTCTCTGTGGCTTTGGAGCCTGTCCTGGAACTAGCTCTGTAGACCAGGCTGGTCTCGAAACCTCTGCCTCCTGAGTGCTGGGATTAAAGGCGTGCCCCTAATCGCCCGGCTGGCGAGATTATTTCTCTCTAAACTTCGAGCTGAAGGGGGCACTGATAATCACATCATTTATGGTCTGACCTTTCAGCAGTTAATAGAAGTAATTTTTTGAGGGGGTCCACAGCAACCTTTCAGTATGGTGTGGTCCATCATACCATCTTTGGATACAAGTAATAGACAGAATCTAATCCTCTGTGAAAATAAAAGAAGAAACTCTTTTCCAAGGTATCACGTCCTTACATCCAAATTATACAGTCAAGGTATTTTCTAACTATCTGGAATTAATTGAGCATCATTTATAAACAAATATCTTCTAGCAGCTATTTTTTTCCTCAGCATTCAAACAATTCCAAGATAGCAAAATAGCATGCAGTATCAATATTCTCTGTGTTTTCCAGCTTTCTGCAGCTTTGTTGTAACCTCTGTTTCATTTATTTTCAAATTTAATTTTTGAGACCGGTTCCTTGTATATGTTTTTCCTGGAATAAATCTGTAGGTCATGCTGTCCTTGAACTCTTAGAGAGATCCTTCTGTCTCTGCCCCCCAGGCATTGGTATTAAAGGTGTCTGCTACCACAACTTGAAGTTGCAGAGGTCAAGCTACCTACTTCTGCTTCCCAAGTGTTGGGATTAAAGGTGTGTACTACCACACCAAACTACTTTTTTCCTTTTTTAATAACTTTAATTTTTAGCCTTCACATTGTTAACACACAAATCATTTAGATGTTTACTTTGTTTTTGAATCTCTCTTTACTGTATCTCTCTTTTTTCTGACCACATGAGCCTTTAACTTACTAAGCAATATGGGTAGTATTAAAGCCATGTTCCTTGCCAGCAAACAATGTACAACACTCAAATTTTCTCTCTGTGGCTTACCTCCTGCCTCAAAGAGTCGGAGTTAGTGCCATAATTGACATCAGTAGAGAATGGCTAAAGGTACATACCAGTTTAAATTATGAGGCTCCTGTACTTTGAGTCTGAAATGAGATGTAATAAACAATTATTCTCTTCATAGAAATAGTGAACAGTAATTATTTAACATTAGTCCCTATCACACATGCTATTGCGCAAGAGACATGTAACAGAGTTAACAGGAGTATTTTATTGAAAACCGTAGGAAAAGGCAGGGTATACATAAGCAAAACTAGGAGAGCTTGGTCACGTGAACCAGCAAAGAAAGGCACCTTACCCAACTTTCCCTAAGCAATGATGGGTACAGCCACGTGTTGTGTGAAAAATGTAACAGTTTTCAAGCTGTAAGTACTTTAAGTTTAATGGGAGGTACCTAAAGGTGTAATCTGCTCTGTTTTGAACCACTATGCCCCAAGCCACCATGCCAGTTTCTGTGGCATGGAGCAAAGAGGGAGAAAGGCCGGAATTGAAAAATCTGGCTGGAATTCTAAAAGCCCTCTTAGTACCTACATATTTGCCTGTACGTGGTAGTGATTTGACAATTTCCGTGAAATTTTGGGAAATTTCCGTGAAATTTTAGACTGCCATTTAGTTTTTCTCTAAACATTTCTTGAATAGAGGCAGATAAGTGTGGAGGTCTGTAAGGAAGGCATTAAAGCATGAGTCTGCGTGGCTTGTCTCCCTTGGTTAAGGCTGTGAAAATACCCGCCAAAAACCATGTTACCTCAAGGCTAGAAGGAGAACTGCTCCACGTTAATGTCCAATGCATATGACCCGAACACCTGGGACTTGTGAACGGGTGTCTGCGTGTTATGATTGGTGTGCTAATGGCCTAGCTGAATCTGGGCAATTTACTCAGAAATCAGAGGCTGGTCCGCACCATAGCTGCGTTCCGCACCATAGCTTGAGTTACAATGAAAATACGGAAGAAAAGTAGGGAAAAAAGAAAGTGGGAGAACTGGAGAGCCTGAACCTCCATGCATGTGTGAGATGATAGGCTGGCTAAGGCCACGCCATCCCACTGGCTTAACCAAGGATGCAAGCCGGTAGTGACTGCCAGCGATGGGAACAACCAATGCCCTGAAGGCATTTGGTGGAAGTTCCCCCGACCCTAGAAACACCAGGAGGTTTCCAGGATCTCAATAGTCAATTACCCGCAATAAAAGTGGCAGTTAGAGTAGCCTAAAGGAGACACTCACGATTAGAAGCTGGTGTTGTTCATAACATCCGCAACCATGCAGATGGAACACGGCGTTTTTGAGATTATCCTCCCTTCTGATTCTGCCCCGTGGGGGAGCTCATAGTCTCGGACGACGCCTAAAACTTTCAACTCCTGTCCAGGGTAGAAGTCCGGGGTGGTGGAATCATGCAAGTTGAGTGAGAGCTCGTGCGAGAGCCGAGCATGCCAAGTCAAGCTGGCAGCAGGCTGCCAAGCTGTGGGATTGCGGTTTGTTTCTAAAACCCAACACTGGTCACCATAACTCATAACACCAGTTATGAGTGAAAGGGATAGTTATTTAAGGCCGGTAAAAGTCACGAAATGCCAGCAGGAACGAAGCACAGGAGGGAGCAAAGAGACCTGGCCAAAGATTGCTGCTCTTTTTTAAAGATAAATAAGTCACACCCCTGTTGTCTGTTATTTCAACTGCTATTGGCTGATGGAGCTTAAGGCGTTCCTGCAGAACAATGAGCTTGTGCTGCAGAGACTATTGGCTGACTAAATGTAAGTTCCTCCCACAGCACTTTGCTCAGCTGCCAAAGAACTTGGCTTGTGACATTCCCCTTTCTCTTCCCCCCCTCCCCTTCCCATAACCCCACTCCATGCCCATGCGCACATGCTTGATGCTGGAGATCCTTCCCCTTCTCCAGCAAATAGCCGCTGAAATCCCAGCACATTGGGGTGTGGTCTCTCTTTAAAAATGCGGCTACTTCCCTCCTCCCTCTCTCTTTTCTGCTCCATTTCTGGTGACTAGACTCTTTCCTGGTTGCCCAGAGAGCTGGTGTCTGTGATGGTGATCTGTAATTTTTTTTCCCCTTTAAATAATTACTACCCTATTACTCATAATTTTTTTTATTTATTTTATTTATTTATTTTTTTTACTCATAATTTAAAACTGGTTTGGGATCGTTTTTTTATTTATGCCTTCATCATCTGTCGCCTGAACGTTAGGTTTTAGGACCCCTCCTTCCCTTGCTCTGCTGCCTGCCGCCAGTTTGGCTTGGTGCGAGCCCTCCGTCATCCATGCCTGTACCTTGTTCGTGGAGTCAGCAGTTTATTCAAAATTATCATGCAGTGACTTTTCTTGCCTGGAATTTCTATGAATAATATCTCCTGTGAATCACAGAAATAGGAGACTTCGGCCTTCAAGGGGAAGAGGTAGGTTGATGTCTGTGATTTCAAGGTTTGGTAGCACACGCCTTTAACCCCAATGTCTGGGACTTACAGCCTGGCAGATCTCTGAGTTCTAGGTGTGGTAGCACACACTTTTTATCCCAACTCTTGGGTGCCCCACACAGGTGGGTCTGAGTTCAAGGACAACCTGGTCTACAGAGTTATTCTAGGTCTAGAGCTTGCCCATGAGAATTAGCCTGTAAGGGCTAGGGTTAATGGGCCAAGCAGTGTTTAAAGGAATACAGTGTCTGTGTAATTATTTCGGTGGCATAAGCTAGCAGACGGCTTGGGTGCTTGGGACGCAGCTCCGCTGCTCTTACTACAGAATGGCGGCCAGACGTGTTGACAAGTGAATCCACTGAAAGACAGAAAGCTTGGGAAAGATTAAAGCATGTTTTCTTGTAACAACAATTTTTCGAGTCTACTCTGCTTGCTATTGGCAAGCAAGCGCTCTCATCTAAGAGAGGTTTTCTGACACAGCTTTAGCTGAAAAACCCAGCAGCTCATTAGGGGGTCCTGCTACAAAACACTTAAATGGTGTTTACAAAAAGCTGAACGCATGTTTTTTGGTTTTCAGCTGTAGCAGTAAGACAGCTGCGCCATTTAAAAATGCCCGCTTTCTGGGCTGTCCTGTCAGGGCAAACTCTTGACTCTTTTATGCAGGTGGTTCGTGCGGTTTACAAGCACAGGCTGCTGAAGCTCGCTTGCTGGCAGGTATCTTGAAATGCCATAGAGTTGTGGCAGTAAACATGGCTACAGCCAGTTCCTCAGCCATGAGGATGGAAAGCTAAGGAATGTCCTTGATCTAGCTGACAAAGCCACGTCTTTAATCCTAGCCATATTGCTTGGTAAATTAAAGACTCATGTGGTTGGAAAAAGAGAGATATAGAGTAAAGAGATTCAAAGACAAAGAAAAATTTTAAAACGATTTACAGTGTGTTAAAAATATGGGCAGGCTAAAAGTTGAAGTTCTTAAAGTAAAAAACCAAAAAAAAAAAATGAAGAGAGTTGTTTGGTGTGGCAGTACACACCTTTAATCCCAACACTTGGGAGGCAGAGGGAGATTGACCTCTGTGACTTCAAGGTGTGGTAGCACACACCTTTCATCCCAGTGCCTATAGGGCAGAGACAAACAGATCTCTGTGAGTTCAAAGTGTGGTAGCATAGAAATTAAAATCAAGTATGTCAAGGATGGAAGATACACAGAGACTCTTGCTCTTGATACTCTATGCTATTTTGTTATCTTTTAATTGTTTGAGTCGTGAGAAGTAGCAACCCCTGTGAAAGGATATTTGTTTATAGATGCTGCTAAGTTAATTCAGATAAATATTTTAAAATGCCTTTAATGAAATTAAAAAGGAATGTTACTCTTGAGAAGAGATTCTGCTTCTGAAAATGAGGTTGTGGATTAATTCTGAGGTTAAAAGAAATAACTCTAAATTTTCTTTTTGTCTTTATAAGATTATCATTGTCCTCAACCAGTAGGAATTATCCAGGAATACTACGCACAGATTCCCAAGAAATGCACTATGGGTATTTTCCCAGGTTTATAAAAAAAGGAAATTTGTGCTATAGAATTGTTTGTATTGTGTCAATGTTGTATTGCAGTAAAACGCTGACTATCCATGCAGGAGGTAAAGGCGGTTAAACCATACATGAAGTAGAGGCATGGCGAGGATAACAGCCCATTCCCCCACTCCTGCCCAGACTCTCAAGAAGCAATATGTGATCTTTCCCACTGTGTAAGGAACTGAGAGTAATGGGTTTAAGCTACAGGAGGTAATAAGACTGAGCTTGTGTGCCAATCAGTTTTATGACCTTGTAATATCTGTGATTTTCTCTGGCTTTCTGGTTGTGGGTTATCTGGTTGGACAGGAACACCAACAAGCAAGTCTGTCATATTTCTTTGTTATTCCCTGCTTTTTGGCTTTTTATATAAAGTTGAATATTGTTTTCTCAAGGTCTGTAAAAAATTCTTTTTCATTTTAATGGGTAATGTATCAAATTTATAGGTTGCCATTGCTATAGCTCCCATATTTATATTGTTGATCCTATTCATCCAAGAGCATGGGAGATCTTTCAATATTTTTGGGTCCTTTTCAGTTTTTCTTCAAAGCCTTAAAGTCTTGTCAAATACACCTTTCATTGCTGGTTATTGTAACCCCAAGATACTTTATGCTATTTGTCGCTGCTGTGAAATGAAGTTTTTCTTATTTCTCCCTCTGATTCTCTATCCTTTGTGTACATGCGAGGTGTTAATTTTTTGTGGTTGATCTTGTCTCCTGCCATATCACTGATGGTATTTATCAGCTGTAGAAGTTATTTTGAAGATTTTTTTTGTGGTCACTGGTGTATGCAATCATACCTTCTGCAAATAACATTTTTACTTTTTCCTTACCTATTCAAATCTCCATGATCACTTTGTTTTCTTATCGCTATTGTTATAACTTTACACATTATGTTGAAGAGATATGTATTTGGACGGCATTTGTATTTTTTTTTTTATTTTAATGAAACAGATTTTAGTTGCTCTCCATTTACTTTGAAAACAGCTGTTGGTTTGTTGTATATTGCTTTTTTATATTTAGAGATGATCCTTGTAACCCTAACCTCTTCAAGGCCTTTATCATAAAGGATTGTTGAGCTTTGTCAAATGATTTTTCAGCATCTAGTGAAATTATCATATGGTTTCTTTTTCTTTCAGTGTGTTTATATAATAGATTTGATTGATAGATATCCATGTGTTGAACCAGCCCTTCTTCTCTGGGATAAAGCCTCCTATTATTTTTTTGGATCAGGTATTTCAGTATTTTATTTGAAATTTTTTTGTCGATGTTCATGTGCGAGATTGGTTTGGAATTCTCTAACTTGGTTGAGTTTTTTTCTTCGTTTTTTGTATCATGGTGATGCTGTTTTTTTCATAGCAAGCTTTGCAATGACTCGTCTGTTTTTATTATGTGACACACCTTAAGGAGTTTAGGTATCAGCTCTTCTTGGAATTTCTGGTGTAATTCTGCAATGACTCTTCTGTTTCTATTATGTGACACATGTTAAGGAATTTGGGTATCAGTTCTTGGAATTTCTGGTAAAATTATGCATTAAAACTATTTGGTGCTGTGCTTTTCTTGGTTTGGAGGTTTTTTGCGACTGCTTATATTTCCTTACCGCTTCACGGTCTATTTACATTGTTCCCCTGGTCTTATTGAATTTTGGTATATGTTATTTATCTAAAAACAAGTCCATTTATTTTACATTCTCCAACTTTGTGGCATATAGGTCTTTGTGTTAAGATCTAATTATTTCTGAATATCTTCAGTGTCTGTTATGTTCCCCATTTCATTTCTTATCCTGTTAATTTGCGTGTTCTCTTTCTGTACCTTTTTATTACATTGGATAGCCGTTTGTGAATCTTGATTTTACTCAAATAACCAGTTCTTTGTTTCATTGATTTCTTTGGATTGTTTTCTGTGTTTATATTTTGTTTGTTTGAGTCCTCCATTTGATAATTTCCAGCCTTCTACTCATGGGTAAGAATGCTTTTTTTTTCTATAGCTTTCAGCTGTGCTGTTAGGTGTCTAATGTGAGCTTTCTCTGTTTTTGTAATGTGGGCACTTAATATGATGAATTTTCCTTAGTGCTGCTTTCAGTTTGGTTATGTTGTGTCTTTGTTTTCGTTGAATTCAGGGAACACTATAATTTCTTTCTTTATTTCTTCCCTGACCCAGGGATGGTTTAGTAGTTGACTGTTCCGTTTCCATGAGTTTGTCTGCTTTCTGGTGTTATAATTGTTGTTATACTCTAACTTTAATCCATGTTGATCTGATAAGGCTCATGTGCTTGCAATTTTTTTTTAAAATATTTATTTACTTAATTACTATGTATACAGTATTCTGTCTGTATGTGTGTCTGCAGGCCATAAGAGGGTGCCAGACATCATTACAGATGGTTGTGAGCCACCATGTGGTTTCTGGGAATTGACCTCATCACCTTTGGAAGAGCAGGCAATGTTTTTAACCACTAAGCCATCTCTCCAGCCCCCCCCCTTTTTTTACTTAATTTTTTTTTTTGATTTTCGAGGCAGGGTTTCTCTGTAGCTTTCGGTTCCTGCCCTGGAAGTAGCTCTTGTAGACCAGGCCTGCCTCGAACTCACAGATATCCTCCTGCCTCCGCAAATTTTTTTTTTTTGTGGCATATTAGGTTACTTTGTTATCAAGTATGTGATCAATTTTCGAGAAGTTTCTTGAGATACTGAGAGGGTATATTCTTTAATATTTGTGTTGAATATTCTACAGATGTCTGTAAAGTTCATTTATTTAATTATCTCCATTATTTCTCTTATTTCTGTTATGTTTCTGACTGGTTGACCTGTCCATTGTTGAGATGAGTGCTGCAGTCCCCTACTATTAGTGTGGTTTGAGGCATACATTAATTTCTAGTAATGTGGGTGCTTTTATATTACTGAAATTTATATTTGGTATTCATACTTCATCCCTCGAAATATTCCTGCAATGAGTTTAAAGTTTCCATCTTATTCTCTTTTGATTGGTTTAAGTTCAAAGTCATTTTTTGTTATATTACTAATTGGTATTAGACCTTTTACCTTTGCTGCTCTTAATATTCTTTCTTAATACTGTATCTTTTGTGTTTTATTGTGTGGTGAGGGTTTCTTTTTTCAGTCTATTTGGCGTTCCATAAGCTTCTTGTACCTTAATAGGAATATTATTTTTTTTTGTGAAAGACTTATTGTATAATTTTGTTTAATCTATTTCTTCCATTTCAGTTTTCAAGTCTTCAACTGTATCCATTACTAGTTTGATTCACTTTTTCTTTATTTCCTTTCCTAGGGTATCTTTGGATTTTTCACTACTTCAAAGTTGTTGTTATTCTTCTCATCCATTTGTTTATAAAGTTGTTTTTCACATTCTGTTTGATGGTCCCTATCTCTTTTATGATTTTACGTTTAAGGTCTATTTCTTCTTCTTCCTCTGTATTAGGGTGTTCAAATTCTTCTGTTGTCTATTTGCTGGATTTTGATACTATCATGCTGTCCTTCACATTTCTGGAGGTATTCTGACATAAAAATGATTTCTGTTTTATTATTTAGGTCTTAGCATCCGGGAACAAACAAACAGCCTCCCTACCATATCCATTCAGTCATCAGAGGAGGTAAGGCATTTTCATCTTTTGATGTCTAATTCCTTGAGCTCTTTATATCTTTTGGAAATTCCTTTGGACATTAGTTTTGTGCATGTTGATAGATATGTATCTAGTTTCATTCCTCTACATGTTGACATACAGTAGTGCAAGCACCATTTTTTGAAGATGCTATCTTTATTTCATTGTATAATTTTAGCTTCTTGGTCAAAAGTCAGCTAAACTTCCGTGTGGATTACTATCTGGGTCTTTGATTTGATTCCAGTGGTCAAGTCTCTGTTTCTATGCCAATACCAAGCTGTTTCCAGTACTGTATCTCTCTAACGGAGGTTGATGGATTGTCATGCCTCTGGAATTTACTTTCCTGTACAGGATTCTTTTGTTCATCCATGGTTTTTCGATATTGATTACTGCTCTTTAAACTGACATTAAGAATTTGTTGGTGTTTTGGTATGGATTCCATTTAATCTACAGATTGCTTTTGTACTGATTGCCATTTTTATTGTGTTTGTCCTCTCTGTCTAAGAACATGGTGATATCTTTCCATTTCCTGGTGTATTCTTCAATTTCTCTCACCAAAAGCTAAAAGTTAATTTCATAGATGTTTTTAACTTTGGTTAGTGTTACCTTGTATTCATCTATTGCTTCACGAGCCCTGGGTATGTGTCTCATGCAAATCAGTCCACGGGATGAAGAGTGTGAGCAAAAGTATAATAAGATTCATTTAGTACTGCCTTTTATACAGAGTAAAAAGCAGTACCTTGACTCTGAACCCCCCCCCCCCCACTCACATACATGGTCGTGACAAACTCTTGCCTCTCTATGCCAGAAACAATACCTCAATTAATAACACTAATAAAAATGAAAAGAAGTATATAGAAATAAGGCAAAAAGAATACAGAAGCAAAGCACTCTTTTATAACTGCTAGCGTGTGAAGAACTGAGCTCAAAGTCCATTCCTTAATCCATGGTCCTTATTCAGACATAACATTAGAAAAATGGGCAGAGAAAGTTTGATTTCATCTATGCTTGTTTTTCACAACAACAGTTTCCTAGCTTCATCTCATCTGCCCTAGGAGGAGCCTGCACTTTGAGCCAGTTCTGTGTCTCCACAATTTCATAGTTTTTTTTTTTTTGGAATTAAAGAGTTTTAACCATAAAGTATGTAATTATTATGTTTAGCCAAATATAAAACTGATATATAATCAAACATAAAAAAGGATAAGCATGATTACGATAACCATACCCCTGGAGGTATGAAGAATGCTTTGTAAGAATCCCTTATGATCTAATCCTGCCAATTTGTCATAAAAAATTTGTTCAATGTTCGAGGGTTATGATTTTACAAAAGTCCTATGGAAGTGATCATTGATGTGATCATGTAAGTGATCAATGAAGTGATCATGCAAGTGATCATTGAAAGATTGAGCAGAGGCATTTCCCAAAAGATAAGCTGGAATATCATTCAATTCCTATAAGAAATTATAACACAAATCAGTAATGCAAACGGTGCTTGAATTCCAATCCGAACACAAAGTAATTTAATTTGTTCCTGCAACGATACAAGTTTTTTTCTCAGCGAACCCACAGTTTGCTTTGGTACATCAATCTCTGTCCAAAGTCGAGACTATATTTTAACTTGCTGAAACTACTTTATGAGAATATGCCATTGCTCTACAAAGTCTTTTGTCTGCAAGGATGTATGTAAAGCAATACCAGCCACATTAGCAGTATCAACAACAGCAACAAGGTCAGGAATTACAGCTATTAATAAACCTAACATGAACTTTGTTCTTTTCGATATCTTATTGAAGAATTCAACAAAAATATGGTCTTGAAAACTTTTATCCCAAGCATGACCTAGGTTTACAGGCGGCTAAATTTGTGTATGTTGCTCTAGTATCATAAGTGATGATGAGGATTAAACTGAATATAGGATTTAATGCATAACTACAATTGCTGATCATTAAAACTAATTCCAGTAGTACAATTGATTCTTTCTAAACAAAATACATATGGTAGCGGCACAGAAGCAGTAACATTACTTCTAAATAAGGTACATATAAGTAGAAGCTGATACTTGTGTTCCAAATCATGATCCATTAAAAACCTGAACAGGTTTTACGGTGGCTATGACTTGCCAATTATGCATCTGTATTGCAGTATGCACTGTGAATAAGGCAATAAGATCATCACTGATTCTTCCATCTCCCCATGCCAGACAACAGCTTCCATTTATCGTTTTATTACTGGCTCAATTCATCCTTATACCATTAAGCAAATCACCAGTGGTAACATTCCTTTCAGAACAAGTGTTTATAAATTCACCATATGGACGACAGTTGATCCATTTATTTTGAATTTCTTTCCAAATTTGCCAAAAGAAATTTTCCAAATAAATGGCTGATATTTTAACCTATAATATTTAAAATCTGGACATAGGGGATATGCAAATTCATAATTTTCAGTATTATTATCCCAGGTCTCAATAATGGACTATGCTCAGATTAATTGAGGATGAGTGCCAGATTTTCCGAGTTTAATACCAGTTTGTGACCACTGCTGAAATCCCATTGAAAACCAAGGACCATTTCCAAATTGCATTGGTAAAATAATCTGTGGAGTCCCATCAAAATTATTCAGGTTAGTTAAATTATTCCAAGCAGGAGTAAGGATACTGGGAGTGGCAAATACACTAACACATCAGTATCTACCAAAAAGACAGGACCAAACATTCGTGGTTTAGGGACATAAGCCCATTAACTTACATCTGATCCCCTAACTGAAGCGACAGATAGCAGAGCGCTCAAGGCCAGAAAATGATATTCAGCCATAACAGGTATTCTGGACTGCTGTACAATAATCTGAACCTAAGCTGCAAGAGATTTCACCTGACCCCATGTCGGTTAGGATGAGGACCTATGTCATCAAGGTCGTTTCCATAGAGAGAATTGCCATACTAGAATGTCTTCTTTGACAGAAGGGCCATCATGACAACATTGCCATCCTATCTTTAGTTTCTGCTCTTTTCTGAACCCGGATCCATAACTGACTCCCATCTTGCAGAGAGACAAGACTATATCCTCTCCCTTTCACCGTTAGCAATGCCAGCTGCCATTCATCACCTTGCATTTTTGTCCCATTTTTTTTTCAAATGAGGCATTTGTGGTTTCCGTAAAACATTTCTTTGAGGGTTAAAATATGTGCATGCGGCATATTTATGAGATTTTATATAAGCAAAGCTTGATGTAAACTGACTCTCACATTATTCTGAAAACCACACATTAATCACATACCACAGTTCCTTTTTCCTCGTTTTTGATTCTTTAATTTGTTTTAGTGTATCATGGACACATTTAACAATAGCCTGTTCTTGTGGATTATATTCAATACCTGTAACAGGAGCAATGATATGATTCACAGAACCGAGGTAGAAAATTTTTTGGAATTATATAACGAGGTCCGTTATCTGTTTTAGTAAATGGGAACACACATGATGGAAAAGGCTTTTAATAAATGTTGAATAACTTGTGTGTTCTCCAGCTAAAGGAGTGTTCCATATAAATGATCAAAGAGTATCTATGGATACTTGGAGGAAGATAAAGCTCCAAAATTCTGTAATGATAACAACCATTAGCCAGATTTCATTTGATTGAGATCCTTGAGGAATAGAATGGATATGTAACAGATGACAAATCTGAGGACTTAAAATAATTTATTTAGCTTGTTGAAATGGATTTTTATGTTTGACATGCACATTATTATCATTAGTATGTAAATGTTCATGTTCTTCATGAATAGAGGAAAAGGTACTAATTTATCATGTTAGCATTTTCAAATGTAAGATATCCAAACAAATTTGTGTTTTCGTACATGAGTAAGATAATTTTATTTTGATTAAGAGTTAATACTAATTTAAATAAAGTTGAATGAAGTACGGCATTAAACGTATTTTGTACAATTACTACAATATAAGCTGGATCACCTACAATACTTAATTCTTGAGGTAAATCTTGCTTGGCTTTAACAACAGCGTACACTTAATTTTGTTGTATGGGACAGTAATCTGTAACTTATACCCAGTACTTAAATTCTGTCGAATAAGCATCTAGGTTTTCAACCATCAGTAAAAATAGTTAATGTATCAGGTGAAGGATTGAAAGCTACAATATTTTTTTTGAGGATTTATTTATTTATTATGTATACAGCATTCTGGCTTGATCGATGTATGCCCGCATACCAGAAGAGGTCACCAGATCTCAGTACAGATGGTTGTGAGTCACCATGTGGTTGCTGGGAATTGAACTCAGGACCTCTGGAAGAGCAGCTAGTGCTCTTAACCTCTGAGCCATCTCTCCCACCCCTGAAAACTACAATGTTATTCATTATAAATCCTTTTTTTTTTTTTTTTGGTAAATAGTCCCACAATTTGGGGAAATGATACTCAAAGTTCCAGTAATAGAAACTGCAGGAATTTGTAAAGCTTCTGCAAGCTAAAACATGTATTCTACTTTTCCTTTTGGAAATGCAAAAATGATAGTAGAAAAACTTAGACCTGTGAAAGTCAGACATAGTTGTTGAATTCCATAGACTACCATTTCTTTACAACTCGTTTTGGAAAATATATGTGATGGAGGAAGGTCATTGGCCAATAAAGAAACTGCTTGGCCCTGTGGGTGGAGTAAACAGAACAAAATGCTGGGAGGAAGAGGAAGTGAGGTCAGAGACTCCACAGCTCTCTCCGGAGCAGACGCCTCAGCAGAGACGCCATGCCCTGCTCCCTGGCAGACACATGCGATGAAGCTCCGACCCAGGATGGACATAGGCTAGAATCTTCCTGGTAAGCGCACCTTGGGGTGCCACACACAGATGATTAGAAATGGGCTAAATTAATATGTGAGAATTAGCCTAGAAGAGAATGGGCCAAGCAGTGATTAAATGAATACAGTTTGTGTGTTGTTATTTCGGGGCATAAGCTAGCCGAGCAGGCAGCCGGGGTGCTAGGGACGCAG